GCTAAGCACTAGCCTGCATTAACCAGTGACCAGGCCTACTGGTATAACCTGTTAGTTAAGCATTATGTAAGAGTGACACATCAATGCTGAACTGAATGTAAGTGAACTTAATTGTTTATTGTCTAAGGAGTCTTGGATACCATATTCAGCCTTGCACTGTAAAATGTGGTAGTTCTCAAAGCTGACCAAAAAAAGGAACCTTGTCTGGCTGTGTCACCTTTGTCATGACTGTGTTACAACTCTGAGTTGGAGGACCACAAAGCAAATTTGGCCTTTACTGAACCCCCTCATTTCACTCTCTCTAGCTCTCTGTTTAGAGTGTCAACTCCAAATTTTTGAGAAGTACCTTTTTATACATGGGGATACAATTAAACACAAGTTACCTCAAGCAGCCAACAATAATAACATATTTTAACACAGCTGTATATAGCAAGATGTGCCTTCTCTCTTATTGTTCTTTAGTGGTGCCTTTCCAAAAACAAAACAATGAAAGGTTTGTTTGTTTTGTTGTGTTAACTAATTATTGTGGAAGGTAACACAAGCAGGTATTTAATAGGCATTAAAATGTTTGATTATATTCAGTGCTGCCATCTTCGATTGCTAAATTGGTTTATGTGCTTCTCTGACTTTCGAAATCAGATAAAAATTCCAACTGCGAACTCGGAAAAACTCGAAATTTCTGACTAACTAACCGACCTAACGTGTCGGTAGTGATATCAGTAATACTGGGCCTGTACTTACTTAATATGGGATCATATCAAAAACAGCGCTATTTTCCTATCATTCTACAAATTAATAAAGAAAACAGAAATCAAAATGTTAAGGGCTGTTTTAATGGCATTTATAGTATTCCAGTACAGTTGTATTTATTTATGGCAGTAGTCTATACAATTATTGCTGTACAGTGAGCCATTTAAACATGTTTCGTATATGGTGTTACATATGCAAAGTTTGCATTATACTGAGTTTACTGGCTTATTGCGGAGAGGCCCGTGTCACGTCCTTTTCTCAAGATTTTTAAGGGATAAATACAAAGTTCACTTTATTTAAAATTAACATTATGAGCCAGAACATTACCACAGGCTGCTACTGTGTGTAGCAGTCAGCAAATCTTTCCTCGGCATTCGGGTTTATATATCTGCTGTCATGTGACCTGCGCTCAGCCATCTTGTGGAAAACGAAGAGAGAGAGAGAGAGCCCAGAGAGAGCCACACAGCTCGTATACAAACCTTGTGCTGTCAGAACAAGCGGAGGTAAGACAGCCAAAGTTTGACACACTAGCGAGGAAAAAATCATTCGCGTTAGGTAGCCGCCACGTCAGGGGGGCAAATTGCGAGGATCTGGGGCGCTTGGGGTTGTTGGTTCTACCACCATGTTTACTTGGCCTTGCAGCACCGGGCCCCAGTGCCTCCGTGTGCGGGCCGTTTTGACAAGGAAAGGTAGTCGTCGATCCAGGCTGCTCGGGAGGCCGCGTGGAGCTAGTTGGCTAACCCGTTAGCATGCTAGCTATCAGCATTGGTGATTGGATGGGAGGGGGGATTAACTTATTCCGGAGCAGTGTTACACAGTTTATGTGAATTATAAGCTTTACCTACTCTCTTGTGATAAACTAAAACAGTGTCAGTACACGCGTCTGCCTTTACTTGTCACACATATACGATAGCTAGGTTGGGATTAAACGTTGCTGGCTAATTAGTTAGCTAGCACGCTGGGATAACCACCGTTGGCCATCGTCTTTCTGGATAGCAAAAAATACTCTGCACCAGGCAGTAAAGCGCTTCTTTAACTACAATTCTGCCGCCACCTTTCCGCATGTCTATAACCCCACTATGAGCATTTAACAGTCGCAAAACATGCTGGATAATGACAGTCACGAATGTGCAGTGAATGCTTTAAATATCCACGTTAGGTGTTTAAAGGACTTGCTAGTTTGCTGCGTTGGCTAACGCAGTGCTGGCAGCTGAGGGTGATTTGCTGAACCTTCCTCGGTGACCATCACAGCGAGCATTGCAAAGCCAGCTTTAACATTATTCAGCAACATTAACTTCACTTAGTACGTAATCAAGGCTGGAGTTTGACTACTGTAGTTTTGTTAGGAGTTAAACGATGGACTCGGTGACTTTCCCGAAAACTTTACAGGAGTTTAACGCTCACTCGTATTTTGTACCATTTAAGCTGCTTAACAAAATTGTAACGGTACATTGACTTCATAAAACTGATAAGTTATATTGCTGTGTACAGATTACGCGTTAATCATTTCAAACACGCCGTATCGTTATATAAAGCCGGCCAATCAAAGGTCTAGCTTTAAAGTGTGCCTAAACTCACAGAAGAGACACCACAAATATCGCAAGCCCCCCTCCGGTTGCTGTATTTATTGCTGTAACTACCAACTTACACGTGGCTTATTCAGGCTTCCATATGGTCAAGGCTATTGTAAGTCTGCTGTCGCCTTTTGTGCCTGATGTTTGAGGAAGGCCTGTGCCTTAGATCTGTGCTTCCAGGTTAAGGGTGAAGGGAACGTCTTGGTAGTAGGGACACTAGCATAAACAAACAACTAATGATGCTGGCATAACATGATTATTTTGGGGAGAGTTGTTTTTGCTGAAAGAAAGTCCATCTCAGTCGTCAATTACAGGTGTCTGCCACAGCCTCCTTGCAGGCTGAGAGATGTCCTAAAATAGCTTTAGCACATTGAAATTGTACACTGGTTGTGTACTTGTGGGATGGGCTACATAGCCTGAGGAGTTGAAATGCATTAAAGCCAGGGACAAACCCCTAATGTGTTTGACATGCCTGAGTTTTAGTTTTCAAGATTTTCAGCAATTAAAGTAAAAACTGTATATACAGGTGCAGACCAGTACTGCAGTTCCCCTGTCTGTTTATGCCACATGCAATTTTGGAATACCCATTTATATTTCCAAGTCAAGACATGCACATATCCAATTTTGAATGGATGCAGTAACACTTATAAGCAGTATTAGGCTGCATGACTGTCTATGTGTTCTTTTTTGCTGTTGTTTTTTTGGGGGGCGGGGATGGCAGATGTTTGGCACTAATCCTTTACCTCCATTTCCACATTTGCAGAACTTCAAGGGAGAATGGCCGAAACCCAGACACTTAACTTTGGACCAGAATGGTAATTGAACTGGCGTGATTTAATAATTAGTGTGGATGAAGTGATTTTTAGGTTGTGAAACTGGTTTTCTGCGTGGGCCTAGTGCAGGTTTTCTCGTTCATGTTGAGACCTGTTGCTTGATTGATGTTTCTCTGTCCATTATGTTTTTACTGCTTTGTCTTTGTCTGCAGGCTGCGTGCCCTGTCTGGAGGAGGAGGCAGCAGTGGTGGTGGTGGTGGAAGCAGCAATGCTGTTGCCTCTCCACCCCTCTCACCTGCATTGCCAAAGTATAAACTTGCAGAATATCGCTACGGGAGAGAAGAAATGTTAGCACTTTATGTAAAGGATAACAAGGTGGGTACGTCCGTAACGTCAGCGTTAGATGTTGACGCAAGATCGTAGCCATTGGGATTTTCATACAAAGTGTGTGACTGCCAAGATTGAATTTCATCCCCCATATTTTGTTGTGCTATAATAGTCTTTGAAAATTGAATGAAATGTATCTTAATTGTGAAAACTCGTACTGTGCGTTTGTGTTGTCCAGATCCCTATAGACCTACACGATAAGGAGTTTCTGCCCATATTGCAAGAGGAGCCCCTGCCACCTCTGGCACTCGTGTCTTTTACAGAGGAGGAACAGGTATCAACCAGATCAGAACACTGACATTAATGTCAAGCTGGCGTGAGGCCAATTGCAATATTATTATTTTAATGGCATATGCATTGTATTTACTAATTTAGCTTTATAATACAGAGCGGATACAAAGACAAGAGCTCAGACTTGGCTTCCCCTCCGTTTGCTCCCCTCCCTTCTGTTTGTATTTGCAGAGAAATTTTTCCATGTCTGTAAACAGTGCAGCTGTACTTCGGCTCACAGGGCGTGGAGGTGGGCTGATAGCAGGGGCACCAAGAGGCCGAAGTACTTCAAGGGGTAGAGGTAAGAATGTATCTAAGCTCATGAATACATGAGTAAGTTGTGTTTCCTTTTATAATTTCAAGGAGAAGTAATATGTTGGATTTAATCTCTAGACAGACAGGTTTAATTCTTTGTTGGAGAAATGAGGCTGTGTTCTTCCAACAAGAGTGTTTTGAGCTACCACTGCTTTGTTACCAAATGCAGTGGTCTGATTGGTCAGATCGGTTTATTTGGAGCTGAAAAGCTGAGCTTGATTCAAAAAATAAATCCTGCAAATTTGTCCAGGGAAGTTAAAGGCCTTTAGATGCCAGTCCAGAAGCTCCCACACGTTTAATCAGTGAATCAGTGAATCAGTATAGAAATGTTTTGTCACAAGATAAAAGTGATCCCTCTTGACAACTTTTTATTTGATTTCCCTCTATAAAATAAAGGAAGTAACAGAACCAAGTGCCCCCACAGTATAACAGACACATCTGTGTGTAGTTGATGTGTGTATGCAGTTTCAGGAAAGTCATGACAGCTGGATACAGTTAAAGTGCCTTTAAAACAGCCTGGCAGTGTGTCCAGAGTTTGAGACAGTATAGTGTAATACTAGTATCCCGTAGGTGATGTGCTTACTCAGCAAAATGTTGCCTCGCACTGATGTGCCCTAAAGGTGGAAGATTGTCTCTGAAAGCAGACGGACGTTTGTTTAGGCGTAGTCACGATGCAGATCTATTAAAAAAATGAGTATTTTCTCACACCAGAGTAAAATAAATTACTGTTAGTCAGCCTTGGAGCAAAGGATATACATTCTGCCTTCTGCTGAGCATAAAGTGTTCATCTGTGAATCCCAGATTATTCCAAAGGAAATTTGTAAAATTTCCTGGTGTAAACCGTCGACTGGAGAGGTGGGTGTTGCTGGTAATTCTCAGCTTTCCATCTACATGGCTTTTCACAAAATCAGTCTACCTCTTCTTTCGCTCA